CGTGGCTTGCCATAGTACGATGTGTCGGATTAGGGCTAGTAGGCGTCCTCAGGCCATTCAAGAAGACGTAATCACGGGGACGATGTACATCTTTTTGGCTCACTCTCTCGACATTTCTGAAGCCGTCTTTCCAGGAGGCGGGTATTGACGTTAGCACTACCCGGGTACCACGCATTGCCATTGCTTATTTTCGTCCTTCCTTACAAGCCCAGCTGCCGCTTAACATGCCATTTTCAGGATCACAAGCAAACCCGTAGACCTATATCCTCGGCCCTTTCTTACTTGTTCCTTTTATGGGAAAGGGGTTTTATTTTGTTCTGGCTTCAGTGTGAACCACAAATGCAAGGTGTGCAATTAAGGACAAAGGAAGAAGGGACACACGACGAGGTACATGGAAGATTCAAGTATACTCATGGGCACCTAAACGCAAGTATCTGTATACATGTCTAGCTCTCGGTACTTGTAAATTACTATAATGGTACGGCAGAAGTTGGCTACGCGGCAGAAACATAGTTTGGTCGTGTGAACAACACGCAGCACAAACACAAGTAACGACTGCAGTTTTCAGGATTAGCCGACGGGGAGATGTTGCAATGATAATGAGTCAAATTTGGTGCATATAAAACAAAGAATGCCAAGCATCGTTGAGCCAGTCGCAACTATAAACAAGCACAGTATGGATAGAAATTGATGAAGAATCGGAGCCTATCGCCCAGAATGGAAACATATTATTGTTTGCTGTCCTCTTCCACTATACAAGAGAGAGTGGAGAAAAGAAATAAAAATATACGACACCCGCCCCATGTACGAGGGATGTCAGCATGGCAACCACCGAACAACGGAACGATACGACTTGCTGGAGCAGGATAACGGATGCCGAGAAATCATGGCCACCGCTCTTTTGGAACGGCAAGAAGCACTCCCCAACCCGTGTTTCTTCCAATGAGAGGCCCTCGTTCGGAGCGCCACCGGTATTTGTTTCTCCAGGCAGCACGTTTTGCCACAGCGTGTGACAATCCTTCTAGCTCATCGATGATGATGCCACAAGGGAATACGACACGAAAGTGTCAAACGTTGGTATCAAATCAGGGATCAGAAACGGACTATATAAAGACAATTGGCAGACCAGAAGTGGAAAGTGCGGTGAAGAGTTTTGGTATACTCGTATAGTCGCCATACGTCCAGTTCCTGCGGCTTCCGAGCCACTCGGATATCCCGAAACGTTTTTCTGAAGAAGGATGTGCCGTTCGCCATTGATAGGGCAATACTCGAGTGCCGACGAAAGATACGGACGGGCAGAGGACCGAGGGCGAAATGGATTTCCGATGGGCGGAGATATAGAGATAGAAAAGGTGCTTTTGTTGGTACGGTGCGTGTCTCCGGTCGTGCATTAACCTCTACATCCTTCCAATCAAGTATCGAGTGCAGGTCCATGGCCTTGGAAACTCGTCGACGATTACCGGCTTTGGGAGCGGGCGCGCGCGTGTGTAAGGTCATGCACACACCGACGTTTATTTGGCCGGTAGGCCGAGATGTTGGTGGCCCCAAAGCAATATTTACCACCCACACGAGCCAGACATACGTAGACTCTGCATCTCCCGTTCAGCTGGTCACGTCTGTTACTTATTTACTTACTTATTTCTTTTGTTTTCCGACTCCTTTCCATCCTCGTTGTCAAACCATACGTTGTTCGCGATACTGGCGTCAGCAGAATTCTCAGCAATGACATACAATAAAAATCCATTGACATGCACGTGCCATGGCAATGGGCGGCAACGGAGGCGAAATAGACGCAGCCTCCAACCTACGCCATCTCTTCAATGCAACCCACAGCAAACTCGTGGCCTGCATGCTGTTGGTGCTGGCGAATGAGACTGGCAATTTGCCACTCGGTTTCAGCTGAACGAGGGCCATTATTTTTTTGTGTGCAAAATGCGGCGTTTCTTTCGGCTCCGTAGAGGCCCAGACGAAAATTGTGACGGAATTGACGCCGCAATAGGTTCGGTGACTTTCGTTGTTGACATGGCATTTGTATATGTTTCTTTGGTCGTTGGCTCATTGATTATTAGTTTATTCCTTTTTTTAATTTATATTATTATTATTATTATTATTATTTCCCCCTCCCAGGCTTCGGCCCCTAACGTGCCAGGCCAGGGTAGCTTTATGCGCCGCGGCCCCACCCTCTCTCGCTAAGACCACTAACACCGAGTTCCTTCCGAGTGGCCTGGAGAGCAAAGTACGAGAGGAGAGGCTGCAACTATTGTATGGCGTTTCGCCACTTTGTAAGGAGACGACGGCACGGCACAGGCGGGATATAATCACAACAAGGACGGGCATATACAATGTACAAGTTACGTCAGATTGTGACAACTTTTCGCGTTGTTCGGACTCGCAATTGCGGCTGGAGAGAGAGAGGCAACAGCGCCTTCCCGAGGGCATAGTGCCAGGCAAGAGCCACTAAGGAGGCAAAAACGGAGGCGCAGGAGAAAGAATGGCCAGGAACGCTTGAGGAAATGTTCCAGAACAAAGCGGAAAAGAGCGATGTACTCAGGAGAAGGTAACACACAAAAGAGGCAATAGCGACGGAGCACCGGTACAGGATATCTCAAATGGGAAGGAAGAATCCAGAAATTGCACTTGCAGGATACAGGCCGCAGAGGCAAGTGCATGTCAACAATTGGAAACACAGAGAGTGAAGCCTGATACGAGAATATGCAAGATACATCAAATGCCACCAACACACGTCAGACCTAGCAATACGGCCCGTGTCTGGGCTGTTCTGGATCTGCTGTACCCGGCATCGGACCCTACGCTTCCAAATTCTCGACTTCGTATACGGTAGCGCCAGGCTTAACGGAATGTACCCGAAGACGCGGAACAGGCAAACTGACACAGAACATTTCAATAACTACGATGGAGAGACGGGTAATGACGAATAAAGCATAGAACGACAAAGAGAACGGAGGGCTTGGGGCTTGTTAACCCCTGTGATAGGCCTGACGAGGCGACAACCGCAACGGAGTCGACTCAATCCAACAACGACTCAGGAGGCAGCAACTAAACAGTCAGCTGCACGTCAAAACCTGAAGAATCTACATTTGGCAACAGGCTCGTTAAATAGTGCAGGCGGTGAGTGGTTTGACAACAGTCCAGAAATACTAACCGCAAAGGGCCACATGGCCCATGGTCTTTTCTCAGTCGCATGGCAGTACATCGTATAACTACGCACTTTCACTTGGACGACGCAGGATCCAGAGCCATGGTACAAGTGTTCAGCCACAAGGTCCCACCCTCAGCCCGGAAGAGGCAGGACTGCTTTGGCGACTACCAATTGCTGTCGCGTGTTCCATTCCACTCAACGCACGGGACAAAAGTGTGGGATGTATGTAGTTTTACTCTGACAGATCTCAACGGAAGAACGCCTAGGCTTACTCCGGGCCAGGTATCTAACTGTGTTACCGCGCCTGTCAATTTCATGTAAGTTGGCTTTCACAAAGGGCGTGTACATATCCGCCCGATGTTGTCCGCCCCTATTATTTGATTTCTATTCTTTTCTTTGTTATTCTTCTCCAGCTTCCCCCGGCACACATCCATTTCTTTCCCTCATTGTCTCCTAGAAGGACATCGTATCCTATGGATGTCTGAGGACAGAGTCCAAAGAAAAACGTCCAATGATGTAACCGCAGTGCGCGCTGGCCAAGTCGGCTAAGCCCCTCTTTCTTTTACGACCTGCCTACTTGTGATCATGATTTGATTTGGCCACACTCGACAGTCCCAAACTGGTATCTCGCTGTGAAAGATTGCAGCGAGGAAGCGAGACAAAGAAACGAAAGAAGCCCCTTGGACAAATATACGCGACGACAACGTCCACGTCGACAACTGGTCTGCTGTTATATGTGCGCGAAGGAGGCAAATTTAAGGCAAATATTGTAATAAGGCTGGACGGCTCAGCAGAGCAAGTGACAGCTGCCTGCTTACACGACGATGAGCCGCAACTATATAACAAATATGACAAGTACAAGAAACAAGCTCAAAAAGAAAAGACAAGCAAGCCGGCTTTCGAATGTCCTAATCCTGGTTTCTACACCGCTTAGATATACGCCACATCGACCACAACTCCGCACACCGTACCATACCAAGTTAACTTTCCGTCATTCTCTAGTTCTTGCCCCGATCCTTTGTCCTGGTCCTTAAACTGGGTACCTTCCGGATCTTATCACTCCCTTCCCCCTATTGTGACTTTCTTTTGATCTTTTTGGGGCTTTTGCTTTTTTATTCCTTTTTTTTTCGTTCTTTTCTAGCCTCGACCAAGCAACTCATCAACCACTATGCACAACAAGAGCTCAGTGGTTTGAGGGTCAGGGCAACGATAAATAAAACCGGAGTAAGGGTCGAAAGTAAAATAGAGACAAGATACGGTACTGAGCAACGTCGAGAACGGACTCGGCAAAACATCATTCTGATATAAGAACACCTTGTCGGGCTCCAACAGCGCTGGTGGATGTCCGGCATAAAAAAACAGCTTTGCAAACAAATCTGAGGACGGTTTCTACTCGAGACAACGTCGACCGAAAAACCAGAACGGACTAAATATCGCGGAACTGATACAACGCTGAACGACCACCTGCGAACAGCCCTCTCGACTCTACAACTCTTCTAGCCATCTCTTCTCTCCTCTACTCACCTCACCAATCCAATCCTATACGTTTACCTTTCCCACACTCACTTGTCAATATACCCCTGCGTTTCTGTGCCCCACCAAGCGTGACCCAACCTCAGTCGACGATATATCTGGGGACTGTCGGAGTGATTATATTGAAGAGGGCTGCCCCATTCTTCTTCCTTCGCCTTACACTCGTTCTTGTCTTATATATAACGGTTCTTCGCACGACTTGCACTCTACACATTCTGGCCGACGCGGCCAGTGGGGCACAAATACTCGGGAAACAACCTTTGCTTGTTTCTTTGCTCTTGTTGTTGTCGCTACATCCCTATCAACCATGAACTATACACGCAAACGTAAGTAAGCGCACAACTGTGTGTGTATTTAGCTTCTGTGCTTTCTCATCTTTCACCACCCGTCCCGTGGCCGTTTGCTCTCTCCTGTTACCCTGTCACCGTTGCCATATCTTAGCATCGTCCTTCCATTCTTCATCATCGACAATACCCCTACTCCTTCTGCAGTAATCTCGCTCCTCTCTTCTGTAACCCCCCAGTGATTGACAATTCATATTGAAAATTCTAGGTGCACTCTTAGCCTGTGACTTTTGCAGGCACCGGAAGAGGAGATGCGACGGCGAGCGGCCATGCTCAACATGCAGAGAGTCAAATGCAGACTGCCATTACAAGGATCTGCCAATTGAACGGTGAGCCAAGACTTTTTTTTTAGGAGAGTGAGAAAGAGAGAGAGCGAAATAGAACAGAGAAAAACACACTTGGCAAGAGGGATGGATGAGTTTGCTCGCTCCTTCCTCGCCTCTGCCCTCCTCTTCGCACCTTCCTCTCCAGCATGCTGGGCCACTTCTTCCCGTTTGTTTGCTTTTCCTAGGTGTATCCTCTTCCCTTTTCTCCATGCTCTACCCCATCCTATCTCACCACCTTCATCTCCACCTCCACCATTCCGCCATGAGCCGCCATCTGCAAGCCGACCCCCGTGTTCCCCGTGTCCAATCCCCAGGTATAGTCTTTCTTGCGTCGTATCCCGAAGCCTAAAAGCGTCCTTTAGCTACATGTTCTGTTGTCATATTGATGTCCCTGTTGTCAGCTCTAACACAACATCGACTCCCAGCGTCGAATCACCTTCAACACCAAACGAAGCAGTCGTTGAGCGACTCGGACGGATTGAAGCACTCCTCGAGGAGCAGAGCCAGAAATTGGAGCGCTTGTATCTCCGAGGTCTGCCGTCCTCAAATTTTGACGGGCCTCACCTCAGCCTTTCCTCCAATGTTTCCATCGATGCCTCCGCGACTGGAGCCGAGCCTTCTGAGGTAACAGACGCAAACATATCCTCTACCGGCAGTCTCCCTGTTCCACGACTGCCTATGCACTTGGCACCCGAATTTGCCGCCCATGCTACCACCAGTCACGGCGGTATCACGGCTACAAGGGCGTCGGGCGCATCGTCAACTTCGCCACCTATGCCAGCGCCTGTTCCGTCGTCCATCCGCGTGAGTCCGCTAGGAGGTATCGATGTATTAAATCGTCCCCAGTACCTGTATCAACAACAGCAACCGCAATTGCAGTCACAAAATCCACAAACCTTCCTCCAACATGCACCCATCGCCTTTCATAATGCCAGTACGGGCAGCAGTACACCCGCGCCTATGCCCGTATTTGGCTACTCAACTGACACTTCCGCTTTTTCCTCCGGCTCCGGTCTCTCCACAGCCATCACAACCACCACCACAAACGCTTCACGCTCCCTCTTGGCTGGAACATCTCCAACTGTTGCTACATCCGATGTCTCATCACACAATATCGAGCAGAACCAGCAATTCTTGATTCCTTATGAGCACTCTACTGCGGCAAACACTCTTCTCTCGCTGCCTCTAGTCCGCTTCTTCCTCACATACCAGCAACAACGGAGCAAAATTAACAAGCCAATACGCAAACTAAGTGGCGATAGTGGTTCTCGAGAAAGTCCAACCTGGCCCTTTTTCTACACTCGCACATATTTCTTTGACGTGGAATCAAACCAGCCTCTGCCGCCCCAGCTCGACCTCGTCTTCAGCCCTGGTGTTGTGCCTGTCATCTTACCACAGGCCGTACTTGCCGCAAGCCATCCATCTGTGCTCGATTCTCTCGCACAGAAGTACTTCACCTATGTCCATCCAAGCGCACCCCTGTTCAGCGCCACGCAGTTTCGCCAGTGGTCTTCCAAGGTGTATGAAAGCGGACCTGATGACTCGATCGGGACGGCGATCTGTCTTGTCGTTTGGGCCCTAGGATCGTTGGCGGCTCCGTCATTTCCATCACAATCCTCCACCAACACGTCATCTCCCGGTCCGGACCAAATGAAACAACGGAATAGCCAGAATGAGCGTGACGGATTTGCTCTGTCCTTATTCCAACCAGCACTGAAAATCATCCTGCGCCACGCACTGTGGGAGTTCGGCCCTGCGTCGCTTGATACTTGTCATGCCCTGCTTCTAGGAGCCTCGTACTTCTCCCATACCGGGAGACCATTGCACAATGCCAGATTTGTGTATTTAGCGGGTCGGCACCTAGTGCGATTGATCGAGGAGTACGTACAACACCGTCACAACTAAGGGAACAAAATTGTTGGTACTGTACACTGTGCTAATCGCATCGAAACCAGGCATAAACGAGATGGTTATGAACCAGAGGCAGATGGGCATATACTGCTGGTGTTTTGAGTATGCTTTATTTGGGAGTGGTACGTTGTTTATATTTTGTATGACTCTGCTTTTTGTCTCTTCTCTTTGGCTGACACACATTGATAAGTGACCGTTCGGCCGAGTTGGATGTTCCAAGAAGTGGCATCGAACCTCTGGCAGAAAATATGCCTCTACCCAGCAGCCACGACCCAAATGATGGCAACGATATGATCTGCTTCGTGGCCGAAATCGCAGCGAGGCGGCTCCTTAATCGCATTCACAGTTCCTTGTACGCAAAGGGCGGCTACGACTCGGCGCAAGAAAGTCTGGCCATACCTGACAACGACAGTGCCGCCGGCGGACGAACAACACCTGGAAGCAAAAGGAAGCGAGACGAGGTAGACATCAACGCATCCATGGCAGCTTCCAGGACGATCGTTGGATTCGGCCTTGGTCTCGATCCCAGCAGTACCCAAAACACGGACATTGTGAAAATGCTTCCCATCAGCGCCGAGCTTAACCGTCAGCTCGAAGCCTGGTACCAAGCCATGCCAGAGCACATTCGTCCTCCCCTAGATGATGACAACAATGGTAGAAGGAGCAATAGCGGCACCGCTGGAGGCGATCTCTCCTTTACGGACGACTTGAACGAAGGTGTTTCGCCATGGCCACACAGTCGACAGAGGCATACGTCAAAACCAGTATACGAGCGCAGCCAGATACTGCGCATACACTACTTTGCTGCCCGACACATCATCCACCGGCCCTTTGTTCTAGCGGCGGCGTGGCAGCAGCAGCAACAAATACTGGCCAGTGAACGCCTCAGCGGCGGCAACAGAGAAGGTGCGGATGCAGGCGGCCGTAGCGTCGCCAATGAGGCAAGCAACAGCACGCCGCCTCCTTTGCCATCCGTGTTGGCTCCAATCCCACCTCTGCCAACGGCCATTCTCGAAAAATGTGCCATCTGTGTCGACTCCTGTGCCGCCTACTTGGTTTATGTGCTGCCTCTCCTGGAACGCCGTTCGCCGTACCTGTGGTCCTTTTGCCAAAGCAGCATGGCCTGCCTGCTGGTCCTTTTGGTGGCAGACGCCTGCCCAAGTATTGCCGCCAGCCGGCCCCTTTCGAGCCAGCTGAGGGCACAGACCATGGACATTGGTTATCTACGCGATCAAATTGCCAGCCGGTTGCGGCGCTGGTCAATACCCGGTTCCAGCTTCGAGGCCGAGTTGCGCATCGTTGAGAGCTTGCCGGTTGGACCAAGTCAAGTTCCTGGTAGCTCCTGAATGGAAGCTTGAATCGAGCCTTAAGGGGGGTCCTTTTTTTCGTCTCCTTTTCTTTCTTTTTTTTCACTACTCTTTTTGTCAATTTCTCCTCATTTTCTTTTCAATATACGTTTACGTATATATATTTAAAAAAGACACCGAAACGAAAAAAAGAAACAGAAAAAGAATAAGACATGGCGATCTGCACATATACTCCCGGTGATTACGGAAATATAAAGTCTTAGTTTGGTTTCGCGGTCACTTATAAAATAATGATTTGAAATGGGCTAGTTGTGAACGATTCTGAGTTGACTAGTTTGCAGAGCACGCAAAATCATAATTGAAAATAAATGAATAAAGGCAATGAATGTAGGTATAGAACGCCCGTCATATCGACTGCATAAGGTGATATGCCAAAGTAAACAAAATATCATGGCCGTGGTAAATGTGGTGGTCAAGATCGGCGCGGTCCTGCGAATGATACCAAGAAACAAAAGGAGCTAAATATGCTGGCTAAAAAACTTGCGTAACAAAAACAATTAAATGGTAGCAAATGAGATAAAATCGCCAACAGCAGATGCCGAGTTGCAACAGCAAGAAAAACTCCATGGCGTCGAAGACCAAAACGAGAGAAAAAAATGTCGATAATACCAAAAACAAAACAAGCACAGCCGTGAACAGAACTCCTAAATAAAACCATCTCACGCCATCAAAATCACAACATGTCGTTGCTCGGTTTGCTCTTTGTAAGGTACGAACTGGGTAGCTTGGGCACCTGTGGTGACACGGGGAGCTTGTCCGACCGCAATGGCGGCGGCGAGGCTATACCGCTGGGAACACCATTGCCGTTGTTACTGACACCAACGCCGCTCCCGCCGCTGCCTCCACCACCACTAGACGGACCAGGCGACGTCATCCCGGCAGAGCCTGGCATGCTTGCAAAGCCACCCATACCACCCATAACGTCAGAAAGTTTCTCGTCGCGCGACCGACTGCCCGTCAGCCGCCTCATGCGCGAGCGGGTGCTTTGTGCTAGGGGGCGGATCATGGTCTCGAACACACCGCCAGCGCTGTGGTTGCCGTTACCACCCACCCCTCCGCTAAAGGATCCAGCGGAGCCGGCAGAGCCGGCAGAGCCACCGCCACTGGCTCCTCCGCCGGCCATCAACCCGCCGTTATTGCCGGCCACTTGACGGTCATCTTCTACGTCCGAGAAGAAAGCGTCTTCGTCATCAGAGGCAAACTCGCGCAGGTACGACGACGAAGCTGCGACGGACGCGATGCCGGACGGAGACACTGAGGCCGGTGCGGATGGAGACGTGATGGACCGGGCATGTAGTGAAGGCCTGGCTGCACTTCCCGGCGGGGGTGGCGCTACATGACTGGTGAAATTGAAGGCGCCTGGGTTCATTGTGTTGGCCACAGCCGAGTTGTTGGTGCCGTCGCGCGATCCGGGCGGCCGGTCTGCAAATGCATTCTGCAAGTTGTTTGTCGGGTTGGATGCTTCGTGGAGAAGAGGCACAATTTCGTCGTAGAGCTGGGCACCCGATGCCACAACAGCGCCATCCGGGAACGCTTCTGTAATCGTAATGGTCGATGAGCGGCTTTCGCTGGGCGGGCTGGTTCCCATATCGTCGAAGAAGTCATCTAGACTGTCGAGCTTGGTGACGAGATCGCCGGTCACTGACATGTCGCTGCGCACCGCATCGTCGGAGAGCATAGTATCGGTGCGCTCCATCGCCGCGGGGTAGTACAAGTAAGGGAACTCCTCAACATGGAATTCCACCTCTGGTGTAGGCGCTGGGGTTTCGGCGGCGACGCCCTCGGTGTTCTGACAGCTGTAGAAGACGGCGTGGATATTGGCGCGTGTCGAGTCCGTCTTCTTTGCCGGTATAGGAATTGCCCAGCCAGACTCTTCTGGAATGCCAAACAAGCTTTGTGTGCGCTCGTACTCTTTGCGGATGGACTTTGATGTTGCACGCGTCATACTCATGCGGATATGATGTTTGTCCATAGATGACCCGGACATAGTCATGATGTTGTCAAGAACCTGCAGGGCTTCCATGCAGAAATCAGTGGGGAGCAGGCGCAAGAGTGGCGAAAGAAGGTCGGAGCCGTGGCCAGCAATATCTGGCTGCCTCATATCGATCTGCGGGATGAACACACAGAGAATTCGCATGGTTTTCAGCCGCACCCACGAAATGCTGTTCGTGAGGAAGCCCATCAACATGGTGACCATCTGGAAGTCGAGGCGCGGCAAGAAGTGCTCTTGGAATGCCGCAAACATCTGCATCGCAAAGTCGCCACCATCTTTGTCGTATGTGGAAGATAAGTAGCCGTCCAGCACCATTGCGATGCCGCCGTGACCTTGGGAGAGTGCCAGACCTAGCAACTTCTGTGTCGTCTGGACAATGTCGTCGCTAAGCGTGTTACCTTGCTCCATCTCGTGCAAGAAGCGAGGGAGGTTCGCAACAAGGGCCAGGAACAGGCGGTCATCGTCTCCAATAAGGGCATCACTGGGGAGCCGTACGAGTTTGTCGAGCGTCTTGATTGTGGCATCCAGACAAAGCGAAGAGCGTAAGCCTTTATACAGCAGTGGTTGAAGACCTTCGAACGGCCCATCCCATTTAGTCGGCTGGCCATCCAGGAAGAGGCGCCTTACGCTGGCGGATTGGAAGTCCAACTTGTCCAAGAACAGGTTCAGCATGTCAACGGCTTCGAGGAACTCGCGTTCGTTGATAGACTCGAGGCATGCACATGTGGTCCAGAAGAGCTGCGGGAACGTCAGGAGCTTTTCGGGATCGAGCTTCGAGATGAGTGTCTTGAGCGTCGTCAAAATCTCCATCGAAAACGTCCGAATCTCGCCATCTTCGTCTGCGATTGTGTTGGACAGCCGGGCGAGCATGTCGGCAAGCATGTACTGGTCAAGGGACGTCAAAATGCAGCGGAATATTTGGAACGATCGGCACGCGAGATGGCGGACCGGACAGGATGTGGCCCACGTTAACGAAAGACGGCCCCATTGCTCCTTGATGCCGGGATAGGCAATCTCAAACGTTTTGACAACTTCGGAGGTCAAGTGTTCCATGCTCGGGGGTACTTTGCTGTCCTGATCGTCTTCCTTGCCATTGCTGTCTTCGTAAGCCCAGACTACCGTTTTGTCATGGCGGCGGATCAGCTCTACAAAGCCTTCGATAGCCTTCGCTTCCTCGACCGTCTTGTCATCAATGTTGGAGATAACAAGTTCATGAATGAGATGCACCAGCATTTCGCGTGCCTGCTCCTGCACCAGAGGCGTGTAGTGGTCCCAAAGGACAGTGACTACTTGCAGCAAGACAGGGACGTTTTCGGCGGCTAAGTTGACAGGCGATACCATCAGGTCCACGAGCAGGATCAAGGACAGCTGGCCCAGTGAGAAACCGGCCTGCTTTGTTCCAACAGGAAGCGCGTCATTGAGGTCGGCACAATAGGGGAACAAGCTGTTCGCGTCCGCTGGTGTAGGCATCGTCTCTCGCTTTTCGTTGGGTACCATTGCCTTGGGGGAAATCTGCAAAAGCAGGAAGTCGATAACCTTCTGCCCTGGGGAGCTGCTCGTGCTGGCCAAGAACACAACGATCTGTTTGGCGTATTCCACAAAGTTCTGCTCTCGTCTTTCGAGGCACAACGCCATTATAAAATCCAAAATCAGGCGCACATTGCCAGGATGGGGTCCGGTGGCGAGTGCTTGCCAAAGAGCCTGCACTTCATTGTGCAAGGCGCCGCTCGATTTGATAGTGATCTCCAGCAGGTTGGCAAGAAGAACATAGGACTCGGCCGTCGGGCCGCCGTTGGGGTCGACCTTAAGTTCGATGGACTGGATCCACGGTAGAATGACAGCAATGACATTCCGTTGTGCAGCCTGCTGCACATCCTTGAAGTAGTATGTGAACTCAGAGAAGATATGGAAAGCAACTTCGGTGTGTTGCTTTGACAGGCGCTCCGAGATTTTGTACTGTGCCAGCTTGTAGACAGCTTTGGTTTTGTCCGAGACGCTAATGTCGAAATCTTGAATCTTTGAGCCACGGCCAACACTCTGGCGTTCCTCGAGCGAACGAAGCATCGAAACCGACTTTGAACGGATCTCGCTCTGTTCGTTGCCAAGCGTAAACAGACACAGACCAAGCAGCCGCCAGAATGGACACGGGTAGTCAGGGTGCTCGAGAAGAACTTGGATGACGACTTCAAAGTAACACTCGAGCACGTTGGCCGACTCGGTAAGGTAACACCGTCCAATGCTGTGTTCCAGCAAGAACGAGTGCTCCTTGTTGTGAACAATAAGGTTCGTCAACGCCTGTCGTCCGATGAGACGCATGCGATCGTTGCCTGACTGGAAAATATCTTCAATCCAGGCAAACATGCGCCGCATGTCGAACTGCAGCGAGGCACCACTTTCCGTGGTAACATTGATGGGCCCCGCACAGAGCGCAGCCATAGCACTCAAGGCGGCCGTCCGCAGATGCCGCTTCTCGATCTCCATTGCAGCGGTCAGGGTACTATCCGGTGGTCGATGTTGAACATGCTGGTCAATCACAGAGACTCTGCCGCTTTCGTCGCGCTGATAGAGCTGGGCTTGGCTCGGCGTGAAACCGCACCAGTCCTCCATGAGCGAGAATGAGGACTTACGGGCCTCAAAGGTAATCCAGCGAGATGGGTCCCGAGACCGGTTGATCCCTAAATACAACTCCTCCATGAGGCCACAATAATGGCGTCGTAGCTTCTGGAACTGCATATCATGCTGCACCTCACCGTCCATCAAGAAGAGTTTGATATCCCGGGCCTGGCTCACAAGTTGATTAAGAATCCAATCGTCGTTGTACACCTCCGGAAGTTTCAAAAAATGGCTCGTCAGCCGGTAGACATGCGCCGCTTCGGTCCGCAGAGTGTCAAGTTTCTTGTTACGGCGGGGGCTGCTGTTGGTACGTTGGTGGGAACGACCCTTCGCTTCGTCAAAGAGCCGGTACAAATGGCCTTCAAGCTCCTCCAGGAGCGCACGGTAGATGCTGAGATTAATTGCTCCCATACCGGTGACTATGGATTCTCGAACGGACGTTGAAGTCGCCGACAGTAAGGGGTTGAGATACTTGAAAAGGTTCCTCGCCGACACGATCTTATCGGGGTTGGGAGGGGACGACTTTGAACCCTTCCGCCCGTGCTGGTTGGCTCGCGATCCGTTTGGGGGCGGGTCACCACCGGAGTCAGGGAGTGTCGAGAAAGCGAAAATGAGATACAGCGTCCACTGTTCGATAAGGAGTTCCGGCTGAGTTGTTGGCGTCTGATTAATATTGTTGAATCGAGGAACACCCTGGTCGGTTCCTTGGTAAGGACCCCGAACTGGCTCCGACATTACCGTGACCGCTTTGTACATTTGCAGGATACGATTGCAGATCAAGTCACGGCCGATTGTGACAGCGAAAAGGCATCGCTCATTAATCACACGGATTAGGTTCGGGAAGACCTTGAACCACAGAGTGGCATCGTAGGACAAGTCGCTGGCACACAGCTCAATCACGGCGCCCTGGCTACCGCTGTTCTTCAGGCCACGCTGCAAGCGACTGCGCTCAGCCACAGTCAAGTACTCGTCATTGAAGTTCATGATCTGGGACGATTCGTTCTCAAGTATGTCAATGACGCGCAAGTTGTCCTTGTCATCTGACTGCGGCTTACCAAGAGCCGCGTCGAACTTGGAGATGAGCCGGAGCACAGTGATGGCAAAGTTGCGAACCCTGCGCGACTGCGAGCACAGGAAGAACAACCCGTGGGCCTCGATCTGGTCGACCTCGGCCCAGATGCTGGAGAGATCTAGTTTCATGCCGCGCTTGTCTGCCATGGGGTTTCCGGGTTCTCCTGAGTCGGCCGACGTCATGTCCTTGGTCTTGCGCTGAATCTCTTCAATCCAGATCTGGAGAAGCTCGACGTACAGGCGAAGAGTATTCTCAATGTGGTCAGCCCCCAACATGCCGCCATCGGACATGGTGGAATACCGATCATCAAAATTGAAAATAAAGCGCGAGAATCCCGTGGTGACCGGCTGAGCATGCGACTGGCGCGCAATGGCTTTGAGCGACTGGGCAGAGGACTCGGCAATATTCGGCTGAATATGCGCTGTGCCCGTGCACAAGAGGTTGATCAAGGAGTTGAAGGGAATGTCGGGTGACAGACACCGAGGCAGAGCCTGGACGGCTACATGGAGAAGCTCATAGAAAGGTTGCTTCTGATCGACCGGGTTAGGGTGCTCATCACGTCTAGCAAAGTTGAAGGTCTCGGCGATGGGCGTTTTTGGACCCGGACTGCTGAATTTCTCGTCCAGCGCAGCCTGCCCCCCAAACGTATTATCGCATATGATTGTAATCTTTCCAAGAATCTCACAGAAGCGTGCATAGTAGTCACGGACGGTGTCCGTCAGCACATTCGTCGCAACAGGCCTCGAGAGCTGATCGTCGAGGCTGTTCGCGCTGGCGGTTGTAGACACAGAAGTGGCTCGTAAGCGGGCACTGGCATTGGCCATCCCGCCAATAAAACCAGCCGAAACAGGCGAGCCGAGTGTAGGTGATGTCGGCATACGGTCGGAGGGAGACGTCGAGTAGCTCTGGGGAAACGGAGGGCGTCCGACCGCGCCACGCTCCAGATCAGAGATGACAGCCAAGAAGGCACGGATACCAACAACAATCCGATCAGGTTCTAGGTTTTCAACCTTGAGATCGCGGTTGGCAGTGAACAACTCGGCATTGATGAGGGGGAATATGATCGTCTTGAAGCAGAACTCGGGGTGCTTGAAGCCAATGAATCGGATGATTTGAATTAAGGGGTCAACCACGGCCGTGTCTGCCGCCACTATTGACCGTCTTGTGCTTGGAATAATCAGCTTCAGAACCTCCTCAAGCTTCCGAATGGTACCCGATACAGAATCGGTGGTGCGGTAGAGATAGGTCCACACAATACGGGACAAAACTTGGAGCGAAAGAGGTTTCGAAGCACGGTCTTTTAGTCTTGTCTGTAAAGGATACACAAGCTGGAGCCACTGATTGCCGAAGCTGTCTGGTGGCGATGTGCAAAGCATCGTGGCAGTCAGTGGGAACGCACAAGCCCAATGACGGGGCTTGACGAACATCTGGGCCAGACGAGGACTGATGGTACTCAAGACGTCGCCCCATTTGGGCCGGCCGAAGTCGCTGTTGCTTGCATTGGCGGCCACTGGCAGAAGAAGCAAGTCAAAGATCTGGCAAAAGGCAGCCTTGACCTTTTGGCCATGACAGCGACTGTAGAGCTTGCCGAGTGCAACCATAAAGTCGCACGACTGGTCCCATGCGCTGGCTGGCGCAAGTTTTAAGCGCAGGTGCTTCATGCCGCCAAGGACCAACTCCATCTTCTCCTCACTGTCGCTGCGGTTGACGAGCACGGGACTACGGAAGTTGATTTCTTGTTGAGAGCGCTCTAGATCGTTGATGAACCGGTCAGTCACGGTCGCAAAACTGATCTCGCTCATGGCACCGAGCAACTGGGCGAAGAGGCTCCAGTTGGCCATGCGGAGCGGGGATACCATGAGCTGCTCGGCGTCGGCCATCTTCAGCTGGCCAAAGATGATGGCTTCGAGTTTGTCTTCCATTTCCGGTGTGATAGAAGCCAGATTGCTCTGGGTAATCACTTCGAGCAGTACGCGGCACAAGACGTAGATGGACACTGTCGACTTGCGTTCTGCTTGTGCGACAAACTCCTGCTTTGCAGAGAGGGCTGTCGGGCTGGCCAAACTGTTCTCGGCGACGCCGGGCGACGATAGTGTCTGGAACGGTTCGGTGTTTCGCCGTTGTAGAGGCACAGGACCAATCTGGGCGCGAGCCTGCTGCAGTTGACTGCGCGCCTCGTTTGCGGCATCGCTTTTGCTTTTCCGCCAGAGCATCATGATGTCGATAAGCGGCTTGGGCTTCTGCCTTGCAATGTGACCCAGAGCTTCAAGGTGCTGGTCGAAAGCGGCGTCCGCACCTGGGCCGCAGATGCTCTCAATGGAAGGCTCTGAGTCTAGTGGTCCAGCAACGCACTCGTTGAGCTTCTCCTCAGCAATGGAGATGAATGAAGTAAAGAGAACATGGAGTGCATATTCGCCAACAGTTTTCTGCTCTTCTTTATGGTGCCTAGAGTGAGATTGGTGGTGGCCATGGTCGTTGCGATACTTCCCACTGTACATGCGCTCCAGTTTCCGTGGTGGCGGATATGCAGAGTTGCCAGCGTCTACGACAGACGACGTCCGCTCCGGGACAGCCGATCCAGCGATAGCGTTTGGCGCGGGCGTGGGTGCCAGCCCTGACACGGCTGTGGAACCAGACATCGCGGTAGGAGGGCGTGAGCTTTGGTTTGTATTCGGTGTGGGGGCGAGTGTGCCAGAGGGCGGAGCAGATGGTAGGGCAGAGGCGCCCTCGAGGCGAGAAAAGGAGTTTTGAGGGTCGGACGGGCTGGAATTGAACGAGGCACCGGCAGCAGCGATCATCTGCGGGCTCAAAGGACTGGACGACGAGCTTGCCAAGCTTCCGTTCCGCGAGTGCTGGATACCATGCACGATGGATGTCTGGCGATGGTGACCATATGCAGCAGCCTTGGGGTCAACAGCCCGTTCAATGATGCCGTTTAGGGCGACGCGAGAGGACGACGTGTGTAGTTGGAAGCCGGTAGAGGACGCGGAGGATGGGGATGTTACAGTTTGTTGTTGCTGCGAAAGCTTTTCGGCGCTGGATTCACGGGAATGGGTGACTCGGGAGTGTGTAAGCCGGGGTGCGGTTGTGGGGACTTCCACGGGGCCGGGCCGCAGGGTTCTGTTCCAGTCGTCTTCTTCGTCTTCTTCAACGAGGCGAGACACAGGTGTCGCGGAAAACTTGAGCGGGTCGGGCGCATGCTCTGGCAACGTCTGGGACGGAGCTGTGGACAAGATAAAATTAGAAACTCGTGGTCAGCGCGGGCAGCCGAGAAATGAGGCAAGAAGCAGATGCAGGCGGCCGCCTGTATCTGGGCGCGTTCGTTCGCCCAGGGGAAGAATAGAAGAAAACAGAAAGGGAGGTATTGAGGGTCAGGGTGTGAAGGAAGGGGCTCTTGGCACCACCCGTTGCCTTATGCTGTTGCCGTGCAGAATGCGCGCGCTGTGCTATCGCGGAAGGCATGCCGAAGGCTGCGGTTTGACCTTGTACGGCGTGCCTAGATGAAGGGTCTGCGCGCAGTCCTATCGTCGACAGACTGCTGCATACAAATAGATGATGGCAGCCGCGAGTATGCGCCACGCAGTATGCACAAAGCGATACGCAGCATGCAGACCGACAATGGGCACAAATGGCACATCAAGCTCGTCATCCAGTTTCCAGCTTGCTGCCCGGAACGACCTCCTCAGGGTCTTCCTTTTATTCAATGCTGGTCGCACAACAGCTCGAGGCCCACGGCAGCGGGATATATGGATATGTCCGTGGATGTGTTTTTATGCAATGGCCGGACGCGCAAAGTCTGGACTCACCCATGTTTCAACCGGCACAGGCTCTCAATTCCCATGTTCCAGCAGCACGCATGCCCCGGTGTTCGCCGTAGCTGCGTTGCTCTGATTCGCTAGCCTTCGTGTACACCGATAATATCGTCGAATTCGAATTGGCCGCACTGGCGGATGCCACGAGGTTGGCCGTAGGGATGGAGGTGTCGGAGTCGTCGGGGCGCCGAGTGAACACGCGCAAACAAGATGGGGTGAGAGGTAGGATGAAGGTGTCGAGCGTCGAGAAGATGGACGAGGACGATAGAAGAAAGAATGGCAATATGGTCAACCTCGGCGTTGTTGGGCTTGTGTAGCTGGACAATCTCGGTGGATCGCAAGCAAGGGCTCATTCAGGGAGAGGTGTATTACAGCGGCGGTGGCCAATCTTGCGATGGAGCATGGCCACCCAGGCGTGGTTATGATGTGCGTTTCGGTGTCAAAAGGGGTAAGCCAGAAAGAGCCGATAACGACGGGAAACGATGATGTGTTGCGGTGCCTTTGGAGAGAATACTATCCGCTCCTTCTCTTCTTTTGCACCTGCGTCTTGCGAAGAAAAAAAGCGACGGTCGACTTGTTCGCTCTTTCTGCGTTTCCTACCGACGTTGCACGCGTTGCCAGCACGTTGGAACCTGTAAACTCCAATGTTTGAAATCCCTTATGCAGGCACATGTGGCATACTGTCTTAGACAGCCAATGAACGTCAAGGAGGCGGGGCAGAATCTGCTAGTCCCTTGCCAAAACTGGCTATTTGCGGGAACAAATAGGGGCAAAAAGAAGGCAAGAGCCGTGCTGTGCACACCCTCAACGCGCAAGCTTTCCACCACAAATGCCACAGCAAGATTCCCAAGCAGCCGCCCGGAGGAAACAGCGGCCCAGCGGTCAGGGCCCACGATCGCACTTCAACATGGCTGCACAGTTTAGCCAACCATAGTTGCCCCACTCATACAAGTGCTTCTGCCCAATGATAACGTCGTTTACGATGGGCAATCAACAAGAGACGTTTCTCGCAAGGCCACAATGGCCAATTAATCATTGACAACAAGCGACAGGAAAAGCAACAACTCCAACACCCAGACTCTAAACTCTAATGGAGTTATTTGGTAGCCGCCTTGCCGCCCTTCTAGGTTCATCTGATGTCGTCGCATTTCGGTTGGCCTTGGGTGACCGCTCCGAGGCGGTGACATCGCGAGCAGAGTCAGTGAAAGGTCTCGTCGATGAAAACGTGACCGCTTGGAGCTGTTCACCCATCTTGATCCGATTATTCACCATTTAATCTGTCGAGCGCAAATCGGATTGGGTTGGGGGAAAGGATGGTTTATTTATACCACCTGGTGCAGGCGGACGGACATCCGAAGCTGGCACGGGGACTTTTGCCGCCTTTGACTAGTAGGCACTCAGCCTTGAGCCCATTATGGAATTTCGCCAGCTACCACGCCTTTGTGTCGGTAAAGTCCGCCAAGGATACTGGACGAGGCGCTGGGAGAAAACCAGTAAAAACCAGTTCATAATCGTCTTGTCTGTTGGTTAAGGGTGGAGGGGGTTGACAGAAAGATTATGGGGGTGGGGAAGTTAACTGCGATAGGTCGATGAGGATCTGAAGAACATGAGGTTTCCTCTATGGCCGAATTGCGTCCGCAAAATGACAAGCCTCCATCCGGTATTTAAAGCCCGAAAGCTTGGCTGTGGCCAGCATCGACTTGTATTCGCGGCGGCAAACAGAAGTCGGGCCCGTGGCACGACTTCAGGTTCCTCTTAGTGGATAGCTGAGGAAAGTTAATGATTTTGCTCCGCCAGCATACAAGATGCCATTGAGCGCGAAACTTGGCTTACAGGAGCATACGTACAATCGACGAGCGATTTGGCGTGTGACATTCCAGCAGGGCAGGGGAGGCCAAGTCATGACCGCCCACGAATACTCGTTCACGCATGATACACAAGCACAGGAGCAGATGCAAAACGTCTTGCACGACCCCAAGGTTGGCATGTGCTTTTCTCTTGGAATTTTGTGGCAGATGTTCCATGATGGGCAGGGAGGCTGCTGCTGCCTGTTGATCAATATGATTTCCTCAAGATGCAACGGAAAGACCGGACGGAGGTTGAAGTTCATTGTTAAGCGTTCCGTTCCAACAATTTTACTCCACCGGAGTATGTCGTGCAATCCAGTATGTGAAGACAGTTTATTCCGCCGGAGTATGTCGTACAGGCCACCAACCGCATTTTGGTACGTTACGTCGCAGGGAGGGGATAAGTGCAAACGGTGTGAAATATGAGTCTCCTCGGCGTTCCTGTGCATCGACACGTCCGTAACGAATGAAGCCGTGTATCCCGTTTTAATGCGACCTAAAGCCGCTACACATCTATAAACCAGCCTGGATTGAGTACATAGCTATCTCTGGTCTGCACTCTATGCAAGCCGTGGATACCTAGGAAGTGTGCCTTGTGAGAAGTCCAGAAAAACTGGGCTGGATTTTCCGGGGGAAGATGTCTTTACATGCTCTACGATAATTACATGGTAAAACATAAAAAGCAAGTCATGGGAGTAGCAGGACTGGCCTAATGAAGCAAAAATATCAACAGCTTCTGAATGCTGGATGTAGCCCATTGGAGACTCTTGACAAGACGGTATGTTGCCAAGCGGTCTTTGATGTGCTGCTTGTCAGATGCTCCGTTCTGAGAAACAAACGACGCCAAACGGCCAGCCAAGAACACACGCGACCAAGGCCTCGGGCGGAAACGCCCACAGAATGAGGGGTTAGCGGGCTACAATTGCATGTTTTCCTGTTGCAAAAAACCCGTGGTAATTAGTTGGCGATGGCATAAATTATCTCCCTTTAGATCCGTCTTGGATTTGCTTCGTGATTTGTACGGAGAAATAAAATACCCTATGTGACGAAGGAATTTTGCATCCCCAGATCAACACAGCGTAATTTCGTAAAATACTCGCCCTGGCTGAACCCACGAACAGGATTGTCGATTAGTGAGTGTTCGGAGTCCTGTCCAAGAAGACGGGGACGAAGCGATTCCGGATCGTGTGCTGGCTACCACCAACAGTGCCATTAGCAAACAAGCAGTTGAGGCGACAGGGTCGGCTAGAGACAACGGCAGCAGTGGGTGTTTATAACGTTGCCACATACGACACTGCCATAGTGCGGAGACTCGTCCAACTGTGGCAGGCAAGTCCCCACAGCCTCGGGCGAGTTCTGCCGATCCTGGCATTTCTTCATGCTAGGCGATGGCCAAAGTGCTCAGCACACCCATTTTCGAGCCTATTCCCCGCCGGTTGTCAGTTTAGCGCTACTCTTGTCGCGAGCGAGGAATGTCATGGGTGCCTGTGGATTTTGCTTGCCGCCTGCCGCAATAGCGCCAACTGGGAGGATACGATGTATTTATTTCTTTTTTTCTCTCTCTCGTCTGATTACTTACAGGTCCAGCTTTTTCGAGTAAGTATTTCGTGGCTTTATCTACGGCAACAGTGCACTTACGTTCTAGGAGATTAAAGTCCTGTTAGGGCAGCTGGCGTGTCGAAGGTAATTCAGTCCTGGCATAAAATTGGGGGTGTATGCGGAAGTTGTTTGGGCGCCTGTTCGAAGATGGGCCCGATGGACGACGGCATCATTTGATCCAAGGCGGTTATCTTGGTACTGTTCTCTATGCTTCCTTGGCCTTCCGATGGAAGCGGTTCCAGCTACAAGACGTTCCGAGCGCCATGACTTTGGCTTGCACCTGCCGTCGTCGTCGGAATGTATTTTATCTGCAAGGCAGCCTTTATGTGGACAAGGCCGCCGAGCATTGCTTTTAGCGCGCTGAAGGCGAAGTTCCTGCAAGTTTGCAGTAGTTCACGCTGTTAAGATACTCCGTTCGTGTAGCTTCTTCCACAGTTTCTGCTTTCAAGAGCCTGCTATCTCCCGACGCACCTTCCGTCCCCGAAATTAGTCCGGCAGCGGAACCACCAGCGCCATGGTCTGTAGTGGTCAGTTCCACGGCGAGAAGGAATAAGCCCACACTCCCGAAAACCGACGAGAACAGCTCATCAGCTTGTGATTCCCCTAACTATTGGCACCTCCACTCTCCACTTATCAGGGTCATTCTCGCTGTCTCCTTCCAGGCCTGGTTCTACCACCTTCCCAAGCTTCTGTGGTATCCTCTGGCCTGCCTCACCGTGCTTGTTCCTCCGTTTTGCTGCACATTGGCGAAAATCCACCCCTTCCTTTTTCCAGTTGAAATTCTTTGGTTCCTGTGCTTGTCAACATTCCCTCTGTCCCCTTTTTCTTCTCTGCACATCATCGAGCTTCAATTTCTCCTCTAGCCTTTCCTTCCTTTCTCGTACCTTTTACCTTTTGTCTCGTTCTCATTTTGTCGACGTGGCTGCTTTGCGCTCAACCCCACCCGCTGGCTTCCCACGCTCGGTCGCACTTGCCCTTCTCCCCTCTCCTCTGTCCCCATGTTTGTCCAGGCTTTGGGCAAGAGACACAGCTGATCATCGTATCTAAGGCAAGCGTGGTGCTTCTTTCCTTCCCCGTTTCTCAAACTGTTGTCTTGTAGCAACGTCTCGGACGTTATCTCACTCTTTTGGGCAGGCGGTGTAGCACCGTCTTACAGGGGTCGCGCCCTTTACGAATACGAATCAGTCTTAAGTGGCAGAAGCATTGAGAGCCCCATCAGTCAATACAGCAAGGGCACTAAAAGTATCGGCAGAAAAAACGGAAACAGGGGCCATATATTTCGCGCCTTTCCGCCATTCCTTTCCGCTTCTCTCTTGAACCTGGAACTTCTGCACCCTTCCGCGACAATCCGTTCACAGTTTTGCTCGTGGCCGCCACCTGTCCCCGAACCGCAATCATGGCGGACCTCGACACTTTGGACATTGTCGTCCTCTCCCTGATTCTCCTCGGTACTTTGGCCTACTTCACCAAGGGCAAGCTTTGGGGTATCGTCAAAGACCCCTACGGCGGATCGTTCAACAACATCAACTCCGCCAAGGCCGGCAAGACGCGCAACATCGCCGAAGCTCTCGAGGAGTCCAACAAGAACTGCATCATCTTCTATGGCTCGCAGACTGGCACCGCCGAGGACTACGCCTCGCGTCTGGCGAAGGAGGGCAAGAGCCGTTTTGGCCTCGAGACCATGGTCGCCGACCTTGAGGACTTTGACTTTGATAGCCTCGACAGTGTCCCCAGCGATAAGGTCGTCATGTTCGTCCTAGCCACCTACGGTGAGGGCGAGCCGACTGACAACGCTGTTGAGTTCTTCGAGTTCGTCACGGCCGAGGACGCCGCTTTCACACAAGGCGCCGATGTGCCCCTGGCCAACCTGACCTACGTCGGCTTCGGTCTTGGCAACAACACCTACGAGCACTACAACCTGATGATCCGCGCCGTTGACAAGGCTCTCCAGCGCCACGGCGCAACCCGCGTCGGCGAGGCTGGCGAGGGCGACGACGGTGCCGGCACCATGGAGGAGGACTTCCTGGCCTGGAAGGATCCCATGTGGGCTGCTCTCGCTGAGAAGATGGGCCTCGAGGAGCGCGAGGCTGTTTACGAGCCCATCTTCAGCATTACCACCTCGGAAACTCTTACCGCTGACTCCACGGAGGTGTATCTAGGCGAGCCCAACAAGATGCACCTCGAGGGCACTGCCAAAGGCCCCTTCAACGCCCACAACCCGTACATTGCCCCCATTGACGAATCCCACGAGCTCTTCACCGTCAAGGACCGCAACTGCTTGCACATTGAGGTGGACATTAGCGGCTCCAACCTGTCCTACCAGACCGGTGACCACCTGGCTGTTTGGCCCACCAACGCCGGTGTCGAGGTCGACCGTTTCCTCTCTGTCCTTGGCCTCAGTGACAAGCGCCACAGCGTTGTCAATGTCAAGGCTCTGGACCCGACGGCCAAGGTCCCCTTCCCTGCTCCCACGACATACGATGCTATTGTCCGCTACCACATGGAGATCTGCGCCCCTGTCTCGCGTCAGTTCTTGGCCACGCTCGCCGCCTTTGCGCCGGACGAGGCGTCCAAAGCCGAGATGACCAAGCTTGGTGGTGACAAAGATTACTTTGCTGAGAAGATCAACGCGCACCACCTCAACATTGCTGGTGCCCTGGAGACTGTTGGGAAGGGCCAGAAGTGGACCAACATCCCCTTCTCGGCCTTTGTCGAGGGCATCAACAAGCTGCAACCGCGCTACTACTCGATCTCGTCCTCATCGCTCGTGCAACCCAAGAAGATTTCCATCACGGCCGTTGTTGAATCGCAAATCATTCCTGGTCGTGAGGATGCGTTCCGTGGTGTTGCCACCAACTATCTGTTTGCCCTGAAGCAGAAGCAGAATGGCGATCCCAATCCGGAGTCCTACGGCCTGACCTACGAGATCACGGGTCCCCGCAACAAGTATGATGGCATCCACGTCCCTGTTCATGTCCGCCACTCCAACTTCAAGCTGCCTTCCGATCCATCCAAACCCGTCATCCTCATCGGCCCCGGTACCGGTGTAGCTCCCTTCCGTGCCTTCGTCCAGGAGCGGGCTAAGCTGGCTGCGGATGGCGAGACCATCGGCAAAACCGTGCTCTTCTTTGGCTGCCGGAAACAGAACGAGGACTTCTTGTACAAGAACGAGTGGGAGGAGTACAAGAAGGTGCTCGGCGACCAGTTTGAGCTCGTCACTGCCTTTTCACGAGAAACGTCCAAGAAGGTCTACGTGCAGCACCGCCTCAAGGAGCGTGCCGAGGAGGTCAACAAGCTTCTGGAGCAGAAGGCGTACATTTACGTGTGCGGTGACGCTGCCAACATGGCCCGCGAGGTGAACTCCGTCCTGGCCCAGATCCTGGCCAGCCAGCGCGGCATCTCGGATGCAAAGGGCGAGGAGATTATCAAGAACATGCGGGCGTCCAACCAATACCAGGTAAGCTTCGCAGTCGCTGCGGCCCTTTCACACTTTCGACCATTGCATTCGCTAACAACTACTACAGGAGGATGTCTGGTCATAAACCAGTTACAACAAACGTCGCCAACGATATGAACAAGCGAAGTTGTACCAGCAAATATTCATTTCTATGAGCGTGAGCGATAATGAGGCTTGGAAAATAAACGAAAACCGAAACACGACGGGTGCATTGGCCGTGGCCTCTGTCCTCGTTATTTACCTACATTTTTTTTAATTGCTGTGCGTTGTCTGGTTCTGGCTGCGCTGCTTTTTTTGGAATACGTGTGCGAATGGCATAGAGGAGTCGGACGGAGCCTTTATCGCTCTATTCTGTTGAGCCACTTTTCTTTTCGTGCGCTCTCGTGGCCTGTCACGTCTTTTTCGAATCTAAGGCGGGCTTTTGTATTTTTTTGGTCTATCACCCTAGTTCATCTGCAGATTTTATGTTCGCCACTACGTCATTTGTAGCGGTCTATCATTATTAGACGAAAATGCCAATTTTCATCATACATTCTCACGAGAGCGTTTATCTCATGAGTGCGATGCTGTTCATACTCTCCCTCTTCTTACGCCTGTCCTTACCGATGCGTATTGCGGTGACATCCTGAGATCCCCGTAGTTAAACTCTTGTTTTTCATACACTGTGTCCCCTTACTCGCGTTCTTGCCGGTCCAGCAAGTTTGGTATCACTGGGATCTGGGACACACTTTGGTTTATCGTTGAACATCTGTTTATCCCCGCCTGATCAGCTTCCCGTATTAACGTTACCCCACAGAGAGGCCAGGCCAGTGACAGAGTCTCTTCTGGGCCACACGCGCCAAAGTCCCGACCTTGGTGGAGTCGCTTCTCCTCTGGTGGCAATGCGGTCGGGACTTCCCAGGCTCGCTTGACGCCAGACGCAGATAGCCCCTCGCCGAGATTTTCACCAGGAAAAGCACAAAAGCGTAGTTGATTCCGACATTCCGATGAAAGCAGGCTGTCGTTCCGGAAATGACGTGGAAGTCTCCAACCCGAAAATGGACTACATCGTGACAATAGAGCTTTGTCCAAAACATGTGTCTCTTCCTTTACAAGCATAATTGTTGGGACGGTGGGATGCGCGTGGGATACATGTAGACAGGTTGTGTGCAATACATCGTGCTCTGTGTCTTCCGTCTCTCCATGTTGACTTTACTGGGCTGATCTCTGACTTAAATTGTGCTTCTTTCTCAAATTTATTTCACTTTGCTCTCACCTTCCTCTCAGATTCTCGTCGGGTGCCCAGAAGACCCACTTTTGAGAAACGGGACCCACAAACGAAAGAGCGACCAAAAAACACACCATAAAGGTTCTGTGTGCAAAACAAGCATGCTCCATGAACATAGGAAGGGACGATGATGGACCACGGCGAAATCTGAGAAAGAATCACCGACCTGACGCTTGCGATTTGTCACGTCTACCTATCAACTATGGCGGCAGTGTCGCTTTCCAACGACATCTGCATTCATCTCTCTGGCCATATGCTCCTTCCCGTGGTTAAAAACAGAAGTTTGATGTTGGCAAGCCAAAATTGGAAGCAACGACGGACAATTAAATCTAAGCGTGCCTACACGCGAACGCAGTGCGTGGGTAGTCTCATAATCTTGATCAAGGCCATGGTTCTATTCATTTGGCTTTCCTATTTCTGTTTCGTGTGAACAGTTCGCCACGATAAATTCTTACAGAGAGTCACGGCGCAGCTTTATTTTCCTCGTGCATATACCGTGAGACCGTGTAGGGGCAATGAGGCCACATTACAATTGCTTTTTTAGGAAAGTGGTTCTTTCCTAGATAGGATATCATAGCATCAACAAGCTACTTCCCCGAACACGGTTCACAGCCCATGGCTCCTTCCATAACCACGACTTTTATGCCACAGTCACTTTTCATGTTTTGCCTTGAAGTTGAGTGCGCAGGTAGAAGCAACCTCCCCCTTTTGTTCAGACGAGAACAAAATCCAACCAATGTCCGGCAAAGTTGTATTTCTGCTCGACCACCCCTGACTTTCATCGGAAGTAGCATCATCCCGAATTACAGCATCTCATACAATTTGTCGCGTGGTAAGTGTCTCTCTCCACTACTGATAATACAGTCAACATCACCGTCGCTGCGACTGAGAGCATGGCCGTACCAAAATCATCCCCATCGATTGCACTTTCCCTGCGTTTTCTGTCAGCAATATTGCTCTTTCCCATATTGCTCCATTTTCTGGTGGCCCCTTCCATTTTACATCCTTTTCACCTTCTTAGGTGTCATTTGCAGCTTCCTTAGCAACCCGTAGCCGGCCACGCCTTCCCAAAGACCAATATATTATTTTCGGGGTCATCCCAACACCTTTGCTTCGCCCTCCTTGCCAACGTTTTCAGTCCCGCCTCTCCCTCTCCTTTCCTTTCTCTCCCTTCTCTCACCTTATCTTCTCGTTTTTGCAGCTTCTTCTACCTCTTCGGTTGTTACAACATCACCTCTGACTTCATTTTGTCACTTCGCATTTTCCCCTTTGTATCCCCTTTTGCATCCACCATCTCATTTCCCAAACGCAGACGCATCCCATCGTCTTTGGCGTTAGATCCGCCCAATCCAGCTATTCTGTGTTGCAATTCGTTAGCCACCCGTCTCCCTCCCCCTTCAACCATTGATGAAGACAGAATACTTTGCTAATATCAGACTTCACCAGCATTCCACCATATCCCAAGTAGAAGATCAGCAGTGTTTTTCTGAAAGCCTTCGGCTGTGAATACGTTGCACTTGGAAGCCCCAACAAAGTAAGTCTTTATTCGTACTTTACCTCGCACATTCTGCACTTGCGTCTGATGATTTCCTAATCCTGACATCTCTGTCACTTGTAGGATATCGAATACACAATGACCGGCTTTCAGCAGAACACGGATACTGGCATGCAGAATCGCCGGTCTGGTGTGGCATCTGGTTACGTCAACAACACAGGTAGCCAAACCGATGTTGGCTTGCACCCTCACCAGGGTGCTGCTCTTGGGTCTGGAATCCAAGCGCCTGATGATGGACTCTCCGCCATAATGGGCCAGTTCTCGGCGCTGAACCTTCCGACCAGTGGCCTTGGTCAACCCGGACCTACCATGCACAGCCTGCCTCCAGGTGCTTTCGTCAATGGTCCTAATGGGAGCATTGTCTTCGCGACACCTTACCCAGGGTCAATTCATCCACTTCTGGCGGACCATGGGTATGGAACAGCTGCGTACCCAATGCAGTACCCAACGGGTGGGTACGCTCAGGCGTATGGCCATGGAGCTATGATGCCTTTCACTCCTGGCCGCCCCATGGCTTACGGAGACCGCATCCCACGTGAACTTCCGGTGCTTGAGAATCGCCGTGGCTCGTACTCAACGTCCGCCACGGAGTCGGCACCTGCTACTCCCTTCTTTGGGCATGCTGTTGAACGCCTCAATGGCGGGACCCGCGTTGCTTCACTCGAGCGGTCATCGTACACCACTCCGTCGCCCCGTGAAGCAGGCTCGTTTGGCAATGCGAGCATGAAGGTGGTTCCTGATCCGGACGTTGAACGTCTTTTGATGCAAGAGCCACCTATTCCCAAGGCCGTCCCGGCTGTTTGGACCGACCATGTCAAATCTCTTGAGCAGTGCCTCGAGAACCGCATTCAGGGCAACCGCAATGTTTACATTCGTGGCCTGCACCCTACTACTGACGATGGTCTTCTCCTGAAATACACTGAGCGGTTTGGAGATGTCGAGCAGTCCAAGGCAATTATCGATACAGCTACTGGGGCCTGTAAAGGGTAAGGACTCATCTTTCTACTTTCTCTTTACTTTACAGGTGACTAACTTGTCTGTTTTTTTAAGTTTCGGTTTCGCCAAGTTCAAGGATGTCAAGGACTCCGAGAAGTGCATTCGTGGCTTCTACCGTCGCGGCTACGAAGTTGGCTTTGCTCGGGTGAGAATCCATCTGTCACTTGTTTTTGATTGCAAGACTCAGCTGACAATCATAATCAGGAGAGCTTCAATGCCCGCCTAAAGGCTGAGGGTGACGAATCGTCCACCAACTTGTACATTTCGAACCTGCCGAAGGACATCAACGAGAGTGTAAGCTACTGTATGCCCTACTAGCCAAGTACCCCAATTGGCCTTTCAACTGACAGCAAGCATCCAGACTCTGAGCCAGATATTTGAACCGTTTCACATTGTCTCGAGCAAGATCCTTCGGGACACCATGGGGAATAGTCGCGGTGTCGGCTTTGCGCGGTAAGGCTTCCAGCTCTTTATTTAATTGCGACACCCGTACCCTTGCTTTTCGAAATTATTTGGCCTTCTAACGCATTATTTTGTGCAGCTTTGAGAGTCGCGATATTTGCGAGCAGGTCATCAAGAACTTTCATGGCATGACGATTGGCCAGGACCACTTCAACATGCAGGTCCGCTATGCGGATACTCCGTCGCAAAAGGAGCTCAAGCGCATCACCTCCGAACGCCGGCAGTATCGTACTAATGAGTACAACATTGGAGCATATGGGACACACGCAGTCGGCATCAACCCGTCAATCTATGCACCTGCTCCTTGGAGTCGTCGTTCCCAAGGAACCAGCGGTCTCAGGTACATTGACTGACTTGGTTGTCGCAGTGTCTTTGGTCTATATATAATTTTTGAAATTTGCATTTCAACTGGTACTAACACAATCTTATTTCTTATCTTCGCTGCAGCCACACCCTGGTCCGCCACTCTTCAAACCCAGCAATCTCGAGCAACTATTCGAACGGTGGCCAAAACACTGGCGCCCTCTTGTAAGCGGATCCCCTTCTTTTGAAACCATTTCACTTATTACCCATGCCTGATTTGCTGATTGAAATTAGGAGAAAGGCAACAACCGACACAGATGCCGCCTCGTCCGTCGACGGGTCAGGGGACGAGGGCGCCACTGTTGTGGAACGGTCCATTGCTGCTGAAGAAGGCTCCCCGACTCCCAAAGCTGCTCTGAAGAAGGAGGCCATCACTGCTGCCTGAAGCACAAGTACATTGCCTTACACATTGCATTTCTTCGCAGCAATTCACTTCCAAAAGCAGCCTCTCGTTACTGCTTTTCGCAGTGGTTATAGCTACTCCAAAAGTTCATCTTAATGCTCTTTTCTGTAAGTGCTACTGACTCAGAGCAAGAAACGTAGCTATTGTCATGATTCTAATCATTATTCTAACAGTGTCCCCCAGATTTATCTTGTTCAAATGCCTTTTCTACGAGTTGAGTTGTATTTTATAGAGAGAGACATGGCTCTGCTATGATAGGTGATGTCGTGCCTATAGGCGAATGTGTTATGTTTACGAAAGGGAAGGGGACTGCATCTGCTATGTTACTGTGGCCTCGAATGCCTTTATCTGTTGACGGTTCTTGTTATTTCTCTGCTTGCCACACTTCTGATTTGCTTGACAAAGTTCCTTTTTATTCATGTACCGCCAAACATTTCACATTCTAACACGGGGAGGACGGCCATTGTTTAAAATTACGTGGAGGCACCACAAAAGGTCATGTATTTTAAAACCGGGGGCACAGCTCATAATAAATTAGAAAATGTTTGTGGCATTAAATCGTATCCATCATTCTTTTGGATCTAATGATAGATGAGACGCAGCTACTGTGATGTCGGTAGTCGCTGTTCCTGACCTTGGCATCCCTTCCTCGCCAAGCTGTTTGTCATTGGTATCTTTGCTTTCGTCCTTCTCTCCGTCTTCTTCATACTGGTCTTCCACCTCGTCTTCTTCTCCGCTTTCATCCTCATCGTCCTCGTCCGCATCAGAAAACTCTGTGCTCTGCTGCTCGAGAATGGCTGCTTCCAGGTCTTTAGACATTTTCTTGGTAAAGCCAGAGGCCTCGACGGCAATGTCGATGCGCGTTGCTCCATTCTGGCCAACTGTCGCTCTCGCATCTTTGAAGAAGGGTCCTGGCTGCGTTGCAATAAAGTGGAAGCGCCGCTCGAAAAAGCGCTTGACGCAAGCGACATCGCGATCAAAATACATCTCTGCGTTTTTGTGCTCCATGGACACCATCTGCGGAAAATCAATGAGAATGGGAACGACAGCCAAATTTTCATCAGCGCCGTCTGCCGTGTCACGCTGTGAATCTGTGGCCACGGGCCTCTGCTCCTGGATCATGATGTTGAACTCGTTGAAATCGCCGTGAATCAGGCCATGCTGTGCGAGTCGCAGGATCAAGCCAATGAGCTCAGCGTACAGTGCAGCCGGGTCGGGAACGGCCGAGACTTGGCGGAGAGGGAGGGCGTTGTCGACAAAGGACATGACGATGGTGTGTCTTGACTGGGCAAACGGTTCTGGGACGGGGAACCCTTCCTTGCGCAGAGCGTCCAAAAAGGCGTATTCGCGCATGGCCGACAGCCGGGAGAGGTACATCCACGACCCACCCTGGCGTCTCTTGAGGTAGTCACGGTTCGACTTGACTGTTCGGAACGAGATGCGGCCCAACCGGTGGATCTTGAGGATGCGCTGTTGCCCAGTCTTGTCGGCCACCATGACAATGTCGCTCTCCTTGCCCACTCCGACACGGTGGCCCACGCTATAGACGACGTCACGCTGCGAGTGCGTATGCATAGCGAGGTAGTCGAGGCCGCCGTAGGTCAGGCGGTAGCCGTCGTACTTGGCCTCCTTGATGCGGCCAATAAGACCAGCCTTCGCCAGGGTCGAGATGCTCTTGTGCACGCCGCTGCTGCCGCCTCGTAGCCGGGCAATTTTGTCGATCATGGACGTCGGGACGATTTCGTGGTTCTTGCTTCCCATCTCCACCTAGAACGGGTGTATACAGTTAAAACTCGGTTTCCCCAACTGTTGAGCGAAGCAAACAATGCAGGAGGAAAGCATACCGCTGTAAGGACCCGCCAGTCCTCGGGCGTGAGGTACCGCAAACTCTTGGTATCTAATTTCATGTTGACTGTATACTGATGTGTATCGTGGAAACTATATTGAGAAACAATATGACAAAAGAAACACAAACGAATCAACAGAGAAAACTGGGTTCAGATCAACCATTGTTCGCTCTCATCGCAGCGCAAGACAAATTTCTTGACGTCGTACAGATCTTATCGCTGGGTGTAAATTATTTTGCGATAAGATAAAGCCAACCGATAAAAGGTGGAGACCAAAAATGGCACGGATTTTAGTCTCTCCGCCTGCCGCTTTAGCAAACTTGGAAGGCTGGTGTGCCAGGCAGGCTGTGGCTGGTTCTGTGGCGTCAGCTTTACCCGCTTTTCTGCTTTGCCATGCCTCTGTTTTCCGAAGCTGGGGTCTAGGCGGCCAAAGCCTCGCGTAATGTGGTGGAAGCGGCAACGAAGCTAACAGAAGGACGACTTTCGTTTTACCAAGCTCCCTCCCCCTCTCCGCCAGACTCCGTTGTTTCGATTGCCAACCTCACATCATCTACCGTTCCGCTCATCAATACCGGGACGCTTCCAATCCGGCGTACGAATTGGTCGTTTCGACCTATCCACAATTTCATTCGACATTCCCGCGATCGACCCAAGCTGGACAATAGCAACCTCTGCCTCCACGACACCCCCCCAACAACCGCAGCGATAGCTTTTGGTCAATCCCCGTTCCTCTGTGGCCTTCTGCTTCTAGCAGATATAGTAATCCTTAACGTTTGTCCAGTCACGGCCGTTGACATTCGAACGGGCCCGTCAACGAAACTCCCCGATTCTCTATAGAGAATTCCAGCAGCGCGACTTCATAAAACAGCTTCCGCTATGGCGAAGGACAATGAGGCGTCCAAGCCCGCTGCCGACAAGGGCAAGGCCAAGGCCGTCGACGCAAAAACTCAAGACGCGGCCAAGGAAAAGGATGGCAAGCCAGTCGCCAATGGAAAGAAAGACGACAAGAACGACGACAAGCCAGACAGTGAGTGTTTGATGTGGTCGTGGCCCCCCGCGATGCGATGTGATGTAACTTACCAGACATTGAGCTGGAACTGGACCAATGGACATTTGCTAACAAATGCGCCGCACAGCCGAGGAGCTCAGCGAAGAGGACCAGCAGCTGAAAAACGAGCTCGACATGCTCGTTGAGCGACTGGGAGTAAGTAAAGAGCATGCTACGACAAAATTCCGAAAACAACGAACCGATGAAAGCGGACCTTTGGGACCGACGCTGACAATCATTACCATAGGAATCCGATACGACGCTCTACAAGCCAGCACTCGAGGCCATGAAGGACTTCATCAAGACGTCGACGTCCTCCATGACCGCCGTACCAAAGCCACTCAAGTTCCTGCGCCCACACTACGAAACGATGACCAAGCTCTACGATGAGTGGGCAGCAGGTGACGACAAAACATCGCTAGCCGACGTCCTGTCTGTCATTGGCATGACCTTCTCCGACGAGGACCGCCAAGACACGCTCAAGTACCGCCTGCTCGCCCCGACACAAGACATCGGCTCATGGGGCCACGAATATGTCCGCCACCTGGCCCTTGAGATCGGCGAGGTATATGGCCGCCGGATAACGGCCGAGGAGCCCACCAAGGACCTGGTCGATCTGGCCCTGATCCTCGTGCCCCAGTTCCTCAAGAGCAACGCCGAGGCCGACGCGGTCGACCTGATGAGCGAGCTCGAAATCATCGAGGTCCTGCCGCAGTACGTCGACAAAGACACCTACGCTCGCGTCTGCCTCTACATGGTCTCCATGGTCAATCTCCTGACCTACCCGGACAACGAGCAGTTCTTGCGCGTCGCCCACGACATCTACAAGGAGTACGACCAGTACACCCAGGCCATGGTCTTGGCCATCCGCCTCAACGACATGGACATGATCAAGGCCGACTTTGAGCAGGCCGAGGACCCCGCCCTCAAGAAGCAACTCGCTTTCTTGATCGCCCGCCAGCGTATCTGGCTCGACACCCCCGAGATCGACGATATGGACATCAACGAGTGCCTCTGCAACATCCGGTTATCCGAGCACTTCAAGCTGCTCGGCAAGGAGCTCAACATTCTCGACCCCAAGTCCACCGAGGACATCTACAAGAGCCACCTCGAGAGCAACCGTGTGTCCAGCATGACAAACATCGACTCGGCGCGCCAGAACCTTGCCGCTGCCTTTGTCAACGCACTTACCAACGCCGGCTTCGGCAAGGACAACATGATGCTCGTCGAGCAGGACAAGGAGAGCTGGGTCTGGAAGACCAAGGAGGAGGGCATGATGTCCACCGTAGCCTCGCTCGGCACCCTGATGCTGTGGGACATTGAGAACGGCCTCGACAAGATTGACAAGTACACCTATGTCGAGGAGGAGCAGATTCAGGCTGGCGCCATGCTTGCTATCGGCATCATGAGCTCAGGCGTGCGTCTCGACTCGGAGCCCGCCTACGCCCTGCTGGCCGACCCAGAGAAGCTTGAGCACAAGAACCCGCTGATTCGCACCGCTTCCATCATGGGCCTTGGCCTGGCCTACGCCGGCTCAAACAAGGAGGATCTGCTCGAGCGGCTGCTGCCCATGATCAACGACGCCTCGCAGGACATGCAGACGTCCGCCATGGCCGCCCTGGCCTGCGGCCTCATCTTTGTCGGCTCGTCCAACGCCGAGGTCAGCGAGGCCATTGTCACGACTCTTCTCGACGACGACCGCAAGCGCCAGCTGACTGACAAGTGGACGCGCTTCCTGGCCCTCGGCCTAGGTCTGCTCTTCTTTGGCCGCCAGGAGGAGGTCGACGTCATCCTGGAGACGCTCAAGGCCGTTGACCACCCGGTTGCCAAGCCGACGGGCGTCCTCGCGGCGACGTGCGCCTGGGCCGGCACGGGTGCCGTGCTCAAGATCCAGGAACTGCTGCACCTGTGCAACGAGCATATCGAGGACTCGGACGAGAAGAAGGGCGACGAGCTGCTGCAGTCGTACGCCGTGCTCGGTATTGGCCTCATTGCCATGGGCGAGGACGTCGGCCAGGAGATGGTTCTGCGCCACTTTGGCCACCTGATGCACTACGGCGAGCCGAACATCCGCCGCGCGGTTCCGCTGGCCATGGGCCTCGTCAGCCCAAGCAACCCACAGATGAAGGTCTATGACACGCTCTCCCGCTACTCCCATGACAACGACAACGAGGTCGCCCTCAACGCCATCTTTGCCATGGGCCTGCTGGGCGCCGGCACCAACAACGCGCGCCTGGCCCAGCTGCTGCGCCAGCTCGCCAGCTACTACCATCGCGACCAAGAGTCTCTGTTCATGGTGCGCATTGCCCAGGGCCTGCTGCACATGGGCAAGGGCACCCTGTCGCTGAGCCCCTTCCACACCGACCGCCAGATCCTGTCGCGTGTTTCCGCTGCCGGTCTGCTGGCCGTGCTCGTTGCCATGCTCGACGCCAAGCAGTTCATCACCTCCAGCTCGCATTACCTGCTTTACTTCCTCGTCACCGCCATGCACCCTCGCTTCCTCGTCACGCTCGACGAGGACCTCAAGCCGCTGACTGTCAACGTCCGTGTTGGTCAGGCCGTCGATGTGGTCGGCCAGGCCGGCCGGCCCAAGACGATCACGGGCTGGCAGACACAGAGCACACCTGTTCTACTAGCATATGGAGAGCGCGCCGAGCTAGAGGACGAGCAGTACATTAGCCTCAGCAGTACCCTAGAGGGACTTGTCATTCTGAAAAAGGTAGGTGCTTATACTCCGTTCTCTCTCGCACTGGAAACACGATACTAACGCTCTGTAGAACCCGGACTGGGAGAGCGACAAATAGACGACTATATGAAAGTAAAGGAGACGTAAAAAGTACAGGGTGGATTATGCTTTTGAAGGGCGCTTGTTGGTTGGGCTTGCTTCACCACCCGTATGTATCTTTTTGTCATCTTTAGAAACAACAAAACAAGAACACGACCGATACCTGGCTGAATGCTGTGGGTAGAAGGGATAAGAAGATCAGGGGTGCATGGCTTCTTCTATTATGGCGGGTAGACAACGTGTGTGTGTCCTTTGTGTGTTTTGCTGTTATGTCTTCACCTCTTGTTATTTCCTCCCATTGCGACGATTTTTTTTTGTATAATAAATACATCGGCACCCATGATTGCTGAAAATGCATTCCATTGTGACATGAACTCTTGAAATTGTTATCGATAGGCCGAAACCCAAAACCCGAAAGCCGGTAACGCCTTGTCCGCATTGTAAAACGCCGTCCTCAACACCGCTCAAATACACGATAAAGGCCCTTCAGGTTCGCGACCTCGATCAGGCCAGCCTGCATCAGCGTCGTCGTGCAGATCAACCGTGTCTTGAACGCTGGGAAAAAGACGTGCTCTACAGCATGCTGAACATGCAAGCGCCGCGCTCGCGTATCATCGTCGATGCCGTTGTCGTTATCGTCATCGTCGCCGTCCTCGCTATGCTGGGTTTCCTCTTTCCCTTTGCCTTTTTTCAGAGCCTGCTGCTGTTGGTGTCGCTGGCGCTCTTTGTTGATGATTGGCAGCTTCTCAGGCACGTAGAAACTGGCAAGCTCCTTTAGCAGCGTATCAAAGCACCCCTTTTCGTCGTTCCAGCGCACCCGTGGGCCCAGCCGCAACAGGAACTGCGGCAGCTTCGCCAGCGGTGGCGTGTAACCTTTGATTAGCAGCGGGATGCTCAGCAGCTCGCCCGTTGGCGTCACTTCCAGCGAAAAGTACTCTTGCAGCATCTGACGGCGCTCAATCAGCTGTGTGGCAACGGCCTCGACAGCCTCATCCGCGTCTGGGTGGTCTGGGTCTGGGTCGTCACCATCGTCGTCATCGTCGCCGCCGTCACCGTACTTGCCATGCTCGTGCTGGAAAGCCAATCGCAACAGCTGCCGCAGATCGAGAGGCGGGCTGAACCGGATGACACCGAAATTGCCAAAGTCGTTGAGCCCAATTTGGTAAAAGAGCTCAAAGCATGCCCGACCATAGTCCACCAGGTACAGCTTGACGCCGCTCTGGATCGCAGCCAACCGCCGGCGCTCGTCAACAATGCCCACAAAACTGTAGCTCTTGAAGATCTCGGTGAGCTCGCTGTGCGAGTTTTCCACAACGGCCTCCTTGAGCTCCCGCACACTCTTCAGCCAGTTGACAGTTGCCTCGCGGTCCACCACCTCGTATTGTGCGACACCGGGTGGTAAACCGTCTCCATCGGCACCCTCTGCACCGCTCCGTACAGAGGATCCAGGAGTGGACGGCGACATGTGCACTACTGTCGGTCCAGAAGGTCCAAACATGCTTGTGATTTTCCGCATGTTGGTGTCCGTCCGCACAAGGTTGTTCTCATACAAGCGTGCAGGTGTCTTCTTCGGTGCAGCCGCTTGTGACGTGCCGGACTTCGGCGTTGGTGCCACGCTCCTTGCATCGCCGTTATTGATGCTACGGGAGCCAGCCGTCGGAAGCAGCGTCTGTGTCGAGAAAGTGCGGCTGGTGTCGACTTCGGCAAGCTTCGAGCTAATGTGCTCGCAAATCGCTCGGCTAATCTCGTCCTCATTGAGAAAGTTGACCTCCCGCTTCGTCGGGTGGACGTTGACGTCGACGCGCTGGGGATCGATTTCGAGACTCAGATACACAAAGGGGTGGCTGTTCTTAGGAAGGTACGCCGAGTAGGTTTCGTCGAGTGCCTTGCGGATATTAGTGGAGTCGACGCTGCGGCCGTTGATGAAAAGAAGCAGAGTCGTGCGCTTCATGCTAAAGTTGGCGTTGGTAGCCCAGCCGCGTGCCTTGAAACCCCACCGGCTGTCGTCTGTCTCGAATGGGAGCAGTTCGCTGGCCACGGCACCCCCGTACACGTGCCGGATACGGTCCACGGTGCTCGCCGCCGCCTGCACGGAGATGCTCGCAGACGACTCGCCGTGCTTCTTGCACGCAAACGCCACATGGCTACAATGGACAGCGTACCGGCCGAGCATGTCGACAATTTTGTTGTACTCGTCCGAGGTTGACCGGAACGCGCGGCGGCGTGTGGGAACATTGTAGAATAGGTCCTCAACAGTGATCTGGGTGCCCTGGCGGCCCGCAACACGCTTCGGCTCCGTCCCCTGGCCCGGTTTGGGGGATGCCAGTTTTCCAGCTTCATAGTAGGCCCTCCATGCCGACTCCGAGTCCTTGGTTCGCGTCGTGACTGTCAGGTGCGCAATGTGACTGATGCTCGCCAGGGCCTCGCCTCGGAAACCGTACGTGGCGATGGACTCGAGGTCCTCAAACTTTTGCAGCTTGGACGTCGTGAAGCGCTCACACAAAATAGGTAGATCTTGTTTCTGTTTCGGTTTGTTAGCCGCAAAACAAAACATCCTCAGCCTGTTATGCCCTCGTGCCCCCCCCCCCCCCCCCCCCACTTACATCAATGCCACAGCCATTGTCAGTGATCTGGAGCAGTTTCAGGCCGCCGTCTTTGACAAGCACCTCGAGCATCGTCGATCCAGCATCGACGGCATTCTCGACTAGCTCCTTCAGGGCGTGGACAGGCGCAATAATGATCTCGCCAGCAGCGATTTTGTTGACCACATTCGGGTCCAATGCCTGTTGTGTCGTCGGTCAGATCTGCCCACGACCAACAAGGGACAAGACACAAACTTACCTGGATTCGGCGTGGGACGGAGCTGTCCGCAGAAACATCGCCTTCGGCCTTCCGTTTGACGCCTCGTGGGGTCCCATTACCGGATGCTATATCCATGCTCGCCAGCACCTCCACCGCAAGATCGAAGTCGTCCAATATGCTTCCCCAGCCCCGCAGAATGCTCCGTTCTCCAAGTGAAGTTCGTTCACGCTCCGAGTAAGATAGAGTGGGTTCGGGAAGCGATGAAGATATCAAGACCAATTTCGGAGGACTCTGATCAATTTGTCACGTTCAGGTCGCCATAGTATGGCAGTCGCGCTTGCCGCCACTCCAAGGTACGCGTAACAGAGATGCCAAATCACGTGTTGAAGAATAGAAAAGTGGGTACAATGGGCCTAAAAACACTGTAGTACACACAAATAATCAACGAAAATATTACTGTGTGGATAGAGAAGTCCGGCAACAACAATTCAGGAGTAAGGAATATTCATGAACTTGTTTTTCTGCCTTGAAATCGGATTGGTATTCTCCTTTTTCAAGATACCTATCATGTATGCATCGGTACTCCCCTATTAATAGAGCCCCCGAGCTCTTCTACAAACGTGCGTTTTGGACCTCGTAGACTTAAAAATAAAGATGCTCATACTCCCGAAAACGTAAAATTGCATAAATACAAAAAAGAATCGAAAAATACAAGTACATTACATGTAAACGTTAATCGAAACGAAAATGATTGCGACCGTCTGCTTTGCCTTGCGAGTCTTTTTTGTTGACTTTGCGCCCTGAACCATGTTATCCCCTCCTTACCCAGATTGGCCCGCCAATACCAGTAACACATATGCTTTGGATATTGTTGAAACAGATGTAAAAAGTATGAAAAACATCCCCCCCACCCCCGCAAAAGAGGTATATGCCAAGCGATGAGAACAACCAACCCGACCAGACCGAAGCTCAACGTAACAAAAACCAGTCGTTATGGCGACGTCATACAATACGACACAATCAAATAGGAAACAGAGCAAGAAACAAACAGAAAATGCCGACACCTCATGAATCCACGTTGAGAAAAAATAAAGAGTACTCGAGACTGGGTACTTTGAAAATATTCGCTCATAATAGGGAAAACGTGAAAAAAAAAAATCAAAATCAAACATGGTTGCAGAAAGTGAGAAAAGGAGCCACCGCAATCCGAAAATGCCGCGGCAATAGCATAAACCCCACACGTGTCGTAAAACAAATTGACCTCATAATACATTCGTAGTTCGAGATGGAAAGGAGCTCTTCCCGTTCGTTATCACCACTGCAGCCGCTGAAAAAAAGTATCCGTCGCAGTTTTGATTCTAGGCATTGCGTATTTAATGCATTCGTCTGAGCGGCTCCGGACTGTCGATCAAGCCGCCAATATCGACTCTTGACTTGTCGTCTCTCGAGGTCGTGGGGCTGTCCATCTGCCTTACCGGGTCCGGTCGGTCTCGGATCGGAGGTAGCTGAAAGCTAGGACCGCCTGTTGGCTGTGGCTGGCGATGCGACAAAGGGTGAGAAACTAGCTCGCTGCGAGGTGTCTGATATGATGGCGGGCCCGTAGGATAATCTGTGCGGCCTGGCGACGGGCCATATGTAGAAGAAACACTGGGGCTCAGACCGGAGAGCATCGGAGACGGGCCACCGGACGGTGTAGGACGGTGCGGTAGAATACCAGAGTCACTCGGCATGCGGGGGCGCCCAGTATCAAAAGTGGCCGAAACAGGCGTGGGCTGCGAGAAAAGTTGGTGCTGTGGTGGTGCCTGCTGCATTGCCTGGTACGCATACGACGAGTGCGGAGAGGGTGTTGGGTGCCCTAGCGGCCGGACCGCAACGTCGAGCACCAAGACAATAAAGTAGATCGAGTCTTGTTTAGCGAGGCCCATGTGTACTGGGACCGTTCTTTGCTGAGCATCTGAAGAGCTGAACGTAAGGTACTCGTGCCAGTCCAAAGCATATCGGGACATATCTTCTGCCGAGAAACCCAGGGACTGTATCACGCGCTCTTCGTCCCGCTTAACAAAAATCGGGGGCAGGTACTGGGGATCTTTGCGTTCGCGTTCATCCTGCATTTGCCGTTGAAGAGAGACCACACGCTCACGTTCCATGGGAGAGATGATGTCCAGGAGGTTGAGGCCTTTGACAGTGTGGCGGCCGATTGCGTCCAGAAAGGCATTGGACGCCTTTGCCAATTCAAGGTCGGTGGTGAGAAAAACAGCTGGTTCAAGTGGACGGGTTGTGATGGAGACAGGAGCAGAGTAGACGTTGGCATCGGAAGCAGAACCACGCTCAATAAACCTTGGAACGATGGGATCAGCAGGTTGTGACTTTAAAACCCTGTAGGAAGCGGTTTGGCCTCGGCGGGTAGAAACAGCGTACCCGGAGCCCAAGGACGCGGACGGTTGTCCGTACAAGGTCGGCACCGGTCTGCGATTTGATGGCTCAGCTGAATGGCCACCCGAGGCTCCTCGCCCAGATAGTTCGTACCTCAAATCTCTCTCCTCACGAAGCCTTGGCCGGCCTCTTTTCTTGTGTTGTACATCGACGCAAGCATCTTCCTTTCCGTTACTAAGGCACCGGGAACACGGTCGTTGGGCTGTTGCAATTTGGTTAGTTCCGAGTCATCTTTCTGGCGATGGCAGGAAGCGAAATTCAAGAACAGCGCAGGAGCAAAGGGAATAGTTTGCATGGAACCCGGCCTGGTCTGCGAGACGGTTTCAGAGAATGCAAAGCAAAGTCAAACTATCACTTACAATCACATCTATAAAGCACCAAAAGAAGATGTCAGAATACTTCAAATTGAATCAAAAGGAATGAACCCGCGATCAACCACTCATTTCGGCTACTCGCGTTTGGCTGTAACAATATAGCCCAAAGATTGTAGAAGTAGCCTGAAAAACAAGGACTACAGAGGTGAAAACGGAAACAAAAACGAGAAAAATAGGGCACTGTGGTGCAAATATGCGTGGATGTGCTTACCGGAGATGGGCCCTTTTGCAGGGCACGCAGGCTGACGCGACATGCCCTTTCGTCTTTCGTTGTGATTTAGGAGATGAGCTGTCCGGTTGTCCTGGGATTGGAGACGGAATCTGAGCGGGTGCCGAAGCTCGTGGGGAAGACGGGTATCCCTGTTGCATCGATGATGGTCCTGGAAGTGGTGGCAGATACGGCGCATATCCGGACATTGCTGGTGGCCCCTGGAGATGCGTTGGCGGAGGATAGGCAGCGACATGGCCTCCGGACGACGGCAACTGCTGGTCTTCTGGGCGCCCGTACGAAGGATACGAATATCGGTCTTGGGGTTCGGAAGCATAGGATCTGGCAGAGGAACCCTGTATCGTATGTGAAAAGGATGGCGGCTGGTGGTGCAGATGCGGTGCATACGACTGGTGAGCCGGGGTTCTGGAGTGTACTCTCATGTCGATTCCGTGGGAAGGAGCCGTCGTCGCAGCTCTATTGTAGGCATCGTGGCTCGTCCGGTAGCTTCCTTGACTTCGTTCGCCAGCCTCGTGAGTTGGTTTTGGCGGAAGCGGAGGAGACCCTGACATGGGCGGAGAAGGGTAGGCCCTTGCGCGGCTGGCCTGTTCCGACTCTGATCGAGCCCAAGTCAGGTCGATGGATAAGCGTGTCAGGTCGGAGAAGACTCGTCGCTGGTTGAGATGGCTTGTAGAAGTGCCGAGGCGAGGCTGTTGACGACGGTGAAGATGGTCCAGCTCTGGAGTTTGCATGGGAGTTGCGCACGCCTCTTACTCTAGATACACAGTGCAGCCGCCAGGATTGTAGATACAATCAAAGATCGTCGAACAGGTAGATGTGGAGGTATAGGTTTCCGACTTAAGTGGTTGCTGTTAAACCAGAAGACGAAGAGGACCGACTTCTATTCCCATCGACGATAATAGAAGCGCTCTGCGTTGATGGTGCCAACATGCCCTTCGTGTCCAATGCAGGGTTGGGGCGAGACAATGTGAGGTCCAAGTGTAGGTGGAGGACGTCGTTTAGAAAATGTAAGGTAAAATACGGCAAGAGTTGTCGAGTCGGGAGACAAATCGGTGCTAAATTGAGTAAGGCAACGACCGACTGTTGAATGGTAGTCGTAACGATTGTCGATAGTCGAGAAGGAAGGGAGATAGCTTATTATATCTAAATAACAAGAAAAGAAGGAAGAATGCGATTGGTGTGGATGGCTTCGGGGAAAATAAAGGAGCGTCATACAGCAGCGCTATTCCATAAAAAAGAAACCTATAGAGCAACCTGTAGTATGGTCTAAGGACATGGGCAAAGCCAACCCGGGACCTGGCACGACCGAAGGAACAGAGGGAAGCACCGAGGGCTCTATAATAAATGCAAGAATAATGGTGACGGAAATGACAGTTACGAAAATAATAAAAATAAGACAATGGTTGAACGTTCTGGAGAGGGGGAGCCGTAGACGATGGCAGAAAGCCGTTCCTCCCGCCTTTTCGATGTGTCTGTTGTCAAAAGTCGTCTGTTACTCGTTGTACTTTTCGAGCTGACAGCCGGAGTGGACTGTCATAAGTGAAAGAAAGACAAAGGCACACTGCAACAGCATGGAAAGCTAACAGTGGAAAGGATAAGAAAGTAAGGCAATGGTGAAGATAGGTGGAGGAGGGGGTGAAGAGGATAAAAAAAAGGAAGGGGGGTGGAGGGAGGGGAGGGGAAGGACGGTGGGAGTGGAGGCTTCAAATAGGAGGAGACGGGCAAAAGCTAGATCAAAGCAGAAACAGCAAGCAAGAAGAGAAATGGATTAAGAACCAAGCATCAAGTAAGGAAGCTCTAATGGCAGGCAAGGCGAGACTGCTAATTCAATATCCATGGGGCAGGGGGAAGCTAGTAAAAGGTAAAGTGGGCACGGGTAGCATGCGACTGTTGAGCTCAAGGTTCTTTCGTTTGCTGGGGACGGCGGGCAATTGTAGAAGTCTGCTAGTCTTATGAACACATGCAAACTCATATGGGTAGGGTGTGAATAGAAGAAAAGGCAGCGAAGCCTGGCGTGGAAGAGGGACGATGAAAGAAAGGGGGAAAGATGAATAAGTAGCGAGTTAGAAAGGTAGAGGAGTGCTGCAAGTGCTAAATTA